TTTTTTAGGTGTTAAAGTATCAGATTTTGTCTCTAGGATGATACAAAAATAACTTTTCTTTGTTTTTTAGGTGTTAAAGTCTCAGATTTTGTCTCTAGGATGATACAAAAATAACTTTTCTTTGTTTTTTAGGTGTTAAAGTCTCAGATTTTGTCTCTAGGATGATCTGAAAATAACTTTTCTTTGTTTTTTTAGGCGTTAAAGTCTCAGATTTTCCTCTGTGGTTCTGAGAAGCTATAATTGGAGCGACCTGTTGAGCGTGACTCTCTGTCTCCCTCTGCTGCTGAAATGTTTCAGTTTTCTGCTCCTCAGCTGATTTCACTGTTTTCACTTTATTACATGTTTATTATAAATTACTACGGACCAGTTAAAATGGGCTCAGGAACAAACAGGAAAATTGCTCAGGAACAAACAGCATAAAGGACAGACTGAGGGGAGACTCTACCTTGACCTCAGACAGTTTAAACTCCAGCTGAAACACGAGTTCGGAGCAGCGACCCGATAAACAGAACAGCTGGACCGTCTCACTGCCACCTGCCAGAAACAGACACAGGAAAACAACAAATATCATTTAATCCAGGTGTTTTATACCAGAACCTATATTAGTTAATAACTAACATCATGCTGTTCATGGGACGACCAGTTCTTTTAGTTTATGTTATTATAAATCAGAAGTTCTTACTGCTCTGCAGAGTTTTTGTGATGCAGCTGCTCAGACTGATGCCGTTCATCTGAGTCTGCAGCTTCAGGTCCTCCTCCAGCTCCTCCACCTCCTCCTTCAGCCTGGACACCAGCGTCTCCTTCCCTGCGCCTCCTCTCTGGCCACACATGTACGCCCTGTGGAGGGGAACACAAACCCGATGAAGAAACAAACCTAACGAAGCAACAACGAGCACATACAGCTGGAACTGACAGGGCTTCCTGCATCTGTCCTCTGAAGTGGACCGTCACGTCTCTGCTGCTCTGCTGCTGCAGACCTTTGATTTCTGTCTGCAGGTGTTGGATCTGCTCCTCCAGCAGCTTCACCTCCTCGGTGTTCTCCTCACTCATCTTCACTTCTCCTGCGTGGAACCAATCAGGAAGTTTAAAACAATGTTATTTAACAGGGAGCGGGTCAAATGGGAGTCAGACAGAGACTCTCTTTGGACCTGAACTGTTTAAAGTGCCTGTGACGTGCAAATTCTTCAGATACAGAAAGTCAAGGAAAGCCTCTTTATATTTAAGAACCTTGGCATAATACACACAATTTACCCATTTTGTCTCTTAACTGTCATGTTTTCTTTTGATTTTGACTCAGCGAAAGTGAAACAGGAAGTGACATCAAAGAAGTGAAACAGGAAGTGACATCAAAAGGGAACTCTCTGTTTTTTTATTTATTGAAACATTTGAACTCTGACTCGTCTTCATCTCTCTGTAATAGTGATTCAAAATAATTTAAAGAAACATCAGATTCTTCTCTAGAGTCTGTGTTGTTAGCTATTTTAGTAACACAATGTTTACACGCAGACATTCCCCTTTGACATCACTTCCTGTTACTTCACATGCAAATATCTCAACAGCTGTTCATCTCAGCAGCTTGAAATTTGTTTAGTTAAATGTTCTAAATGTTGTCTTTCCAAAAATGCCTTTGCTTTATTACTAAAATCTGATGTCACAGGTACTTTAAAGTAGAATTAGGACAGCCTGTCTGTCTGTTAAACTGCATCAAACTGGTTTGATTTTGAGATTCTCCTGATCTCAACCCAGTCTAACATCTGTGGAATGTTCTGGATGAAAGTCTGTCCTGCTTTAAGGTCCTACTGAAGACGTGATGACAGCAGACCACCTGGATGGGTCAGGTCGGTGTCAGACAGGTGGTCATAATGTTATGGCTGATGGACGTAAACAATCCGCTGACAGATTTAAATGTTGTTAAATGGATGAATTCCACTGGTTAGTCATAAAAACAGAGATGAGTCGTCGTGTTTACGCAAACAAGTAAACTATTAAAAACTTAATTTAGCGCTTTTATTTACACCACACGTGACAAATTCATATTTTTAATTAAAAAAACTAAGCAATGTTTCGTAGCAGTGATTTAAACAAAGAGTGTTGTCTCAATTAACAACACTATAAAATAAAATAGGTTATTTTTACCTGATTTGTTTTCCTGTCTGAGCAGAGAAATGTTTGCAGCCTCGCGCTCTGTCCGGACTGAACCACCTCTGCCTGAAGACGGGGGGTGGCCTTGTGTTTTTGTGATATTTCTGTAAACTAAAAGGCTATTTCTTTACATAGAACTATCAGTTGTATCAAGAAAGTCAAATTAAATTAATATTATTTGTGTTTTAATGTCATTATTGGTCAGAAAAAAAACAAATGAGCGCAATCTGCGATGAAAAGAAAACCCCTGATCAAACAGCAGAAAGGACCCAACCAAACTGTGGTCCCGGAAGTAAATATTTCTTTGAAAATAGGTCGTATTTTTGGCTAACATTAGTTTTATTGTTTTAAACGTGTTCGTTTCTCCCTGTAGACACAAACAACCATAATAATAATGTTTACACGCTTTTCTTGAAACGTTCTGTTAATTTTATTGCAGCGGAACCTTTGAAAAACAGGAAACGTCAGCCGGACTCTGAAAATAGCAGCACCGGTTGGACCCATGTGAGGTAAACAGATGTGATTTTTGTTACTCCTGTCTGTTTAAAATAAACAGGTAGTTTAAATCTGACTGTTTCGACTTGTTAACTAGATGTTTGTTTATTTTAGCGAGACAGGTTTTAATTTGCTCTGATTTTATGTCTTTGATGCTGGGGTTGAGTTTAAACTCATGTTAGCATGAATAAAATGCAATAACAGGACGATAAGTGTGATGTTTAGTGGTTTAGGACAGTGGTTCTCACAAAGTGGAGGGTCTTGAGAAGACTTATAGAAAGAAAACGAACTTTTAAAATGGTATCTGCTATTTTATTTTGTGAATCTCAAGCTGAAAAACTTTGGAAACACTAGATTAGTTTAGCAGGGGTTTCTGGTCCTGGTTCATAAGATAAGATAACAGACAGACAGACTTTATTGTCATCATTGCACAGTCATAATATAAATGTGATAAAAAGATGATCTTCCTGCATGCTTTATTTAGTTTCCCTGAGCACACCTGAGTCAGTAGTTTACCTCTTCATGTTCTACAGAAGTCTGTTAACCAGGTGTGTTGGAGCAGAGGATCTTCTAACACATCCAGGACAGTGGTCCCCCAGGACCAGGACTGGACCCCCCTGATGTAACATATGTTGTGTTTGCAGTGAGGGTTGCTGTGAAGACGAAGCGATGCGGCGGCTGTACGTCGGCGGGTTGAGCCACACGGTGACCCAGAAGGACCTGAAGGATCGGTTTGGAAAGTTTGGCGAGGTGGAGGACGTGGAGCTGCGGACCAGGAGGGACGAGGATGGTGAGGACGTTACTGAGATTAAAATGTTCTTTAAACTGTTCAAATCATTCAGAAACCTTTTAACGGACCTGTTTTCTATTTATTTATCTGCAGGTGTTCCTTATAAAACCTTCAGCTACATCAACATCAACATTTCTGACGCTGAGCTGAAGAAATGTAAGAATCAGAGTCGAACCAACAAACATTTAGCTCTAAAACCAATCCTAACATCGTAGGAGCTGAAATATCATCAGTTTTTAGTTAGTGTATTGTATTGGGGTCCCACAGGGTTCTGTGTTAGGGCCCAAGTTGTTTCTTTTGTATGTCAATGATTTGGTTAATGCGTCTGATGTAATGAAATGTGTCATGTTTGCAGATGACACTACTTTTTTTTTTTGTTCGGGAAACAATTTAGAACATCTGCTAGCTTTGTTGCAATTTAATTTTGTAAAGATACATGATTGGTTTGAGTTTAATAAATTATCACCTAATTTGGATAAAACTAACTATATGATATTTAGTAAACGAAAAAAATGGTTGATGTTTCATTTCAAATTTGTGGTGTTGAAATTAGCAGAGGTACTGAGGTGAAATTTTTGGGTGTTATTATTGATGAAAATTTAAATTGGAAATCTCACATAAGTTAAATTAAAACTAAAAGTGTGAAATCAATTGCAGTTTTATACAAGGCTAAGGAAGTATTTAATGATGAAGCATTGCTTTTATTATATAACGCCATTATTGAACCTCATTTAACTTACTGCACTGAAGTTTGGGGAAAAGCATGTAAAATATTCACATATCCTGTTTTTGTTTTGCAGAAAAGAGCCGTGAGAATTTTGACAGGAAAATGTTGTTGTTGTTGTTGTTGTTGTTGTTGTCATCCATCTAATGTTTTGTTTAGTCAGTTGAGATTATTGAAGTTTTATGATGTATAAAGCTCATAACAATGATTTACCTTCTGAAATACAATTTTACTTTACTAAGAGGAAAAGTGTTTATAATTTGAAAGGATTCTAGATGTTTGTTTTACCAAAAATTGGAACAAGCTTGAAAGAGAGATGTACTTCAGTTCAGGCTATCAAATTATGGAACAGTTTAGCAAAGAACCTCAAAACTACTGGTTTTATTTATTCATTTAGAAGAAGGGTCGAAACTTTATGTTTGAAAAGTTATGGGCAGTCTATGTTTGAATAATTTACATTTCTTCTTGGTTTTTTCTTTTTTTCTCGGCTGTTCATTGGATGAAATAATAGTAGTTTTTTATTTCTTTGTTGATGTATATTTTGTAATTTTTATGGATATTGTTTTAATTGGGGGCAGATATTATAAGATTCTTTTCTTCTCTCTGCTCCTTTTCATTTAATGGTATTGTGCTTATTTTGTGTTTATTTTTAATTAAGTTTGTTTTTTGTTGTTTAAATGAAATAAATTTTATAAATAAAATTATGGGGGGCAGCCGGCCCCTCCAACAGAACTGCTCCTCTACTGTTCTGTGCTGCTGTTGCTAACGTTTAGCTTTTAGCTTTTTACCGTTCTGCTCCTTTTAGCTTTAACAGCTCAGTTTCAGCTTCTTCAGCGGATGTCAGCGTTCTGTTTTCACAGAACTTGTTTCTCTGGGTTTCAACATGAAATCTGTTCCCTCTGCAGGTTTGACGGTTCTGAACAAATCCAAATGGAAAGGAGGAACTCTGCAGATTGAAGCAGCTAAAGAGAGTTTCCTGCACAGGTGATTCATTTTAAAGCGTCTGCATCATTAATACTTCATGTTTTTCTGTAAAGACTTTAGTTGAACATTTGTCCCAAAGCAGGAGCAGCTGATGTTGCAGATCAGACTCTGATGCTGTCTGAGTGAAGCTACAGATCTAAATGTGATGTTGCTCTGGTTCAGGTTGGCTCAGGAGCGACAGGAGGCAGCCGAGCAGCGTCTCCGTGGATCTGCAGCTGAAGACCAGAAGCAGAAGCTTCTGGACTCTCTGAGCAAAGCCGGAGTGGAAGACTTCACCATGAAGGCTGCGGTGCCGGGGTCCGAAGTACCGGGACACAAGGTTGGTCCATCCAGGTGCTTCCTGTGTGACCTCAGACCTGAGAGGTGCTGCATGTTCTTAGGTTCATAGTTTATCTTCAAAGTGCATCTGAAGGCAGAGCGGTGGCTCCGCCTCCTCAGCGGGACAGATGTAGCGGTGCATCTCACTTGCTCACAGACATTAGTCCATCTCAGGGTAATAACGATTCAACAATATTACTTATTACATAAAACAAACATGAAAATTAAAAACAACAATAAACAGACTTATGTGGTCACCTTATTTTCTCTGGGTGCGCCGCATTTATGTAGCTCCTCCTACAGTTTCTAAACAGTTTTATTTGTTTCTCTCTGGTTTCAGGACTGGGTCGTCAGTAAATTCGGCCGGGTTCTTCCTGTCCTGCAGCTCAGGTGTCAGAAAGGCCCCAAAGCTCGAACCTCCAAGTACGACCCGTCCAAATACTGTCACAACATCCGCAGGCTGGACCGCAACGCTGCCGACGAGTCCACACCTGTGACCCAGCTCACCTGGGAGGTGCAGGGGGGCGATGATGACATCAGTAAGAAGAGGAGGGGAGAGTTCCCCCCGTTTAAACCGCCAAGACCCAAGAAGACTCGAACAGACGCAGTAAACTCTGATTCATTCAGACACACGTAAGCTTTTTATTTAAAACCTGTTTTAGATTTAGAAAAAATCTAAAC